CTCCTCCCCGCCATGGGGCCCAGGGCATCACCCACACTGTCTCCTCCCCGCCATGGGGCCCAGGGCATCACCCACACAGTCTCCTCCCCGCCGTGGGGCCCAGGGCATCACCCACACTGTCTCCTCCCCACTGTGGGGCTCAGAGCCCAGCCTCAGCGTCCCTTTTCCTTGTAGATATTGGGTCCCTGAGTGGGAATTGACGACTGTTCAACTTAATGCTTCTGAGAAAGATGTGTATCCAGCTGGAAATTAAGGATATTCTAGCAGCTGCCCATCCTCTTTTAGGGGAATGCAGCAAGGACGGTGCTAATTTTGTATAAATCATTCTTCTTCTTCAACAGTGGCAAAAAGGATTGATTTAATTTAGAAGGTTCACTTATCAGTTCCCAGATACCATTTCTCAGTAGCCCAGAGTATAAGGTTCTGACTACACATTCTACGACAATTCAATGAAACTAGAAATAATTCACAAAATATGATTACTCACAAGAAATTAGAAATTAATAAGCAGTACTGTAAATAATTCTTGAGTCCAAGAAAAATTCGATTCCCCAATTATTCATTGTGTAATTATTAGAACCATCATTCACTATTTTTAAGGTGACCTGTTCGAAACTACAGCTTCAATGATTCCACTAAAGTTATGAGGAAAAATATGTAACAAATTAGCAAAACCTATAATCATACTTTGTATGATTTTTAAGGTGACCTGTTCGAAACTACAGCTTCAATGATTCCACTGAAGTTATGAGGAAAAATATGTAACAAATTAGCAAAACCTATAATCATACTTTGTATGATTTTTAAGGTGACCTGTTCGAAACTACAGCTTCAATGATTCCACTAAAGTTATGAGGAAAAATATGTAACAAATTAGCAAAACCTATAATCATACTTTGTATGATTTTTAAGGTGACCTGTTCGAAACTACAGCTTCAATGATTCCACTGAAGTTATGAGGAAAAATATGAAAAAAAAGCCAAGAAGAAGAACAAGACCATACAGCAGGAAATTCATTCGGCTTGCCTAACATACGAGGTCTAGCCTTCTCTTCACTCTCAATTCCCAAATTATCAGTACCAAAGGAATTGACAGATCACAGCATGGTTAGCAATAATATCAGGAGCCAGGGCTCTGAATCAATCTAGGGCAGACTGCCTGTTGGCGTCTCATTTTAGATGAGCATTTGGAGGCAAGAATCAACGACCTCTAAAAAGGTTTGTGCTTTTTGAGTCAGAAGTTCCAAGTGTACGAATTTATCCTAAAAGATTATAGGAATCATGTACAAAACGATGGGACATGGTATTTAAAACAGTTAAAATAGTTGCACATACAATGTAAAGGCTTGACTACTGAGCTGCGTCCCCACCCAACGCTTCCTTCGAACCTTGGACGTGTTGCTGAGGAACACTCTGTTCCTTAACGATATGGTGAAGTAGAATTGTTAGGTGAATGAAATGAGATGAAGAAGCTGTCCTCAGCAACAGCACAGTGAGCAAAGCCGACAGAGGCACCAAAATACCAGGTGAGACGTTCCTTCCACATCACAGGATCGTGGCTGGTGCTTGCTTTCCTCTGTGTATTCTGAAGAAATCTTTTCAATCTTTAGATAATGAGTTTATACTATTTTTATGTTTAGGGGAAGTATGTTATATGTTATTGTGTCATAGATTTGTTTTAATAATAGAAACTTAATACTGTAATATGAAATATTATAGTATTTCAAACCATATTATTATAGAATTCCCTACATCATTTGAGTGGAAAAAGATCATTTTCTAAGAAATTCCTTGTGTGATCCACTTGATTTGCTACTAATTCTGTGAGACCTGACAATTACCATTGCCTTTAGAGGCCATTTTAGAGAGAGTTAAGGACAGGTGCCTTCTGGGGTGAGGGGCCAGAAAGAAGGAACAGAGGGACAGGTGGCTGACAGGAGTCCCAGCAGGCCAGGCCATCCTTCTCTGTGGGTGGAAAAGAGTAGATGGGGGAACTGGCCAAGTTCTTGCTTTCAAGTTTTAGTACCAGAAGAACATCTAAGAGAAAATGTCACGGTGGGGCCTTTGCTGATCACAGACTTACTGAGTCCCCAGAACTGAAGGCAGACTTTCATTCTTGCTACACGAGGGCAGAAACACGTGACTGCAGGGGCTTTCATCCACTCCAAAGCCTACACCTCCAGGGGCAGGCCAGCACATGGGGCAGGTGGAGACTGTGGCCCCAGCACAGAAGCCAGCTTCACTGTCAATTCTGAGTGAGTCCTAAAAGTCACATGAATGCTTGGCTTCCTAGAATAGTTTTTGACTCAATAGCTGCTATTTAATTATTGTTTATTATTATTATGCTAAGCCACATTTCTTTCAAAAGTTGAGTTTGCATATACTGTAGAGAGCTTCATTATGATCCTTTCATCTATCTATCATCTATCTAGGCAGATAGGTGATAGATAGACAGATCTCACACTTGGTTCTCTGCCCTTCCCCTCCCTTCTTTGTTTCATCTATCTATCATCTATCTAGGCAGATAGGTGATAGATAGATAGACAGATCTCACACTTGGTTCTCTGCCCTTCCCCTCCCTTCTTTCTGGTCCCCTTCCTGCTCTGCAGTCCACTTCCTTCTGCTTTCAGGTTGTGTATAGTCCATTGCCCCATCTTCTTCCCCTTCCCTTCCCCGTAGACCCCTAGCTTCCATCTCTTAGACCACCATCTACTTAGGGATCTACATATGACCACTATCTGCTCACCTTTCTATATATATCTAAATTTGCATCTTGATTCTACATATGAGAGAGAACATGTGATGCATGTCCTTCTGGGTCTGGCTTGTTTCAGGAAGCCTTATTACAGCTTGTAATGCATTTAGACCAAACCTAGATGGCTCTTGGCACTGTTGGAATGAGGCTTCCTTCCATCGCTGAATCAGCTTCCATTCCTAACATCCTGGTACTCTCATTGTTCAGTCAGCTGAACAAGTTTTATGTAAGACCCAAACCTCCTCATTTAAACTCTTTAATGTACCATATTACAGTAACATTATTATAATAGGTGAATGATATTTGAGTTTTATGCACCCCATGGTTCATAGACATCCTACAATGCAGTTGATTCAGTAGTAAATCCAACGATAATGGAGTTGATGATGTCATCTCCAAATGGTAGTGCTGTAAGAAAATATCCGAGTTTGTACATTGTATGAATGAAGAAAGCTCATGTTCAAAACTTTTTCTAAAACATATTTGAACTACATGGACTTCCTCTTTTTATTTACATGTATATTTTCTTAACATTAACATGGTCAGGTCATCATTTTCCCACTAAGTTCCACTCAAGGCAGATACCACACTGTTTGTTAAATCCATAGTTCTGCCTCAGGAATTCATTTTGAATTAACCAAGAGATGGCATTGTGAATCTGGTTTTCTCAGAGTATAGCCCTTGGATTAGCCTGCACCATAATCTCAGTGGTGGGAGGGGACAAAGGAGAGAATGAGGAAGGAGGGAAGGCAGGCGATCCGGAGATACCACCCGTGCTTCTACTCCAGAAGGCAGATCTAAGTCTAATGTTATTGACTGGGCTTCTGTTAAGCACAAGAGGATGGACAGTAATGGATGTTAAGAATTCAGAGACACAGGCCATCGAATTACTGGCAGGGAGGGAGGACATCATCAGAAGCGAAAGCAAACGTAATTGACTTTCCAGTTTGCTTGGAACTTGGTGATAGTAGTCGTAAAATGTCCCCCGTCAGCACTTCCAGGGCTTTCGCAGCTCTTACTCAGTGCCCTGCTAGCACACAGAAGACCAGTGCTCTGCGTACATTCCTTTGTTTCTTCCTCACACCTTTGACTCTAGATCTCTCTTGACAGATGGGTAAACTGAGGTGGTAGCTAGCATGCCCTTTGGAGCTTGAACTTTGAGCTCTGTCCCTGAAATCCATAGTAGTAATCATCTGGGTATAGCAGAAATTCTGTGAGAGCCTGTCTTGTCAAGTTGATAGGAATTCCTTAATAGCCTCTTTTGGCTTCTGTCCGTTTGGGGTACGCATTGAGGTCAAATCACTAAAACATACTAATGGGTGAGCAGCCCAGAGTGCTGTGAGCTTGGGCAGGTTTCACATTTCCAAAGGGCAGCAATGATTGTGTTATAGAAGTCCTAACATGCTTTTCTAGAAGGTAAAAGGCCACCTGCTGCTTCCCAAGTCTGCCCATTGCGTGTGTACTTGGCAAACCTTCACGGCTTCTGGCTGCTGTCTTGCTTGAATGGAGTATTTCTTTGCATGTGCCTCTTTTTTTTCATTTCGTGATCTGTGCTGTTTTCCTTTTGAAATCATACCTTGGAAGCCATTTAAGCTTCACAGTTTTAGAAACAAGGTCACATTTTATGTGCGTGCATATAAATTGACCTCACTTGCTTAAGCGATGTGAAATTGCTCAGCAATGTTCCCATGACTTGTTTTATACCTTTTCATATTTTATATGCTCTTCAATCAGTTGGACAAAAAATAAGGGAGGCCGAGGTGCCAAGCCGCCAGCACTCTGACACCGGGGCTGATGTTTGCAATGCAGGTGAGGTGGCATCCAAGAGGAAGCTGGAGACCGCCAACTTGGGTGGAGGTAAGGATTTGTCTTTATCTAGCAAAGACCTTCAGAAATTCTCTGCAAATGGCCGGTCCCTGTCTGCTGTCTTCCTGTCCTTTTTTCTCTTCTCTGCTGGTCTCTTTCCTGTTCCTGTTTCTCATTTACCAAATAGGATGGCAGGAAGTAGTTGGAGGGCTGGAAGGGGAGCTTTCAAACTGGCATCAGCTATAAATGCCATTTTAAAAAATGCATTGATGCCTAAGGAAAATACTGGTAGGGAATTTCAGATTGGTCATATTATATAATCTTACAGTTAATTGACCAAGCTGGCGAATTTATCTTCACTGACCCAGGTGGAACACATTAGGAGCCTGAGCACACCATGTTTCACAGTGGGTCATGGAGACTTCTCAGCCCTCTCATAATTAGAAAGAACTGATTGTTGTCGATGTGTGAACTGGTGCTTGGTGCTCGGTATCCATCCTGAAATATTATTGTCAGGTGAAACCCAGCCAACAGAACAGGGCTCACACTCATGTGATTAATGTCCTACATCTCTGAAGTTAGGCTTCCTCATGCTCGGTGAATGATGTATATAATGTTCTGATTTGATGGGTCTAGAGAGATGGCTCAGCAGTTAAGAGCACTGGCTGCTCTTCTAGTGGGCTTGAATTTGGATTCCAACAGCCATGTGGCTTCACAACAGCTGTAATTACAGTTCAGGCAATCCTATGCTCTCTTTTGGTCTCCTCAGGCACCATCACGACACACACACAGACACAGATACACAGACACACAAACACACAATAATAAATTTTAAATGCTGTTCTGATTTGAATCTACATGTGTTTGGGGGATATTGGTTTTGGTAATCACATCACCCCATCTCCAGTGCTTAGTGAGAGCCGTCAACACTACACTTTGGCTTCATGGACTCCCTTTCTCCTTTGACAGCATGAAGTAGGTCACATGACATTTGTAGAGCAGTGGGTGGAGTCACAGGAGAGGGATGAAGAGCTTGTCCAGTGGGCATTCCCCTAGGGGAATTCTGGTGAACCTCTCCAAACACATAGCTCCAGTCATTAATGAGGCCTAAGTCTAACCATGAACATCTAGTTCACTGAAGGCACTGTGAGGAGACTGTGAGGATTTTACATTTAGACACTCTTATGACCATTTCACACACACTATCCCTGGGAAGAATTTTGCAAGTCCAGAGTGGCTGTTCTCTGGATAGGAGATGAAGACTTAGAGAGGAGTTACTTCCTAAGCTCGCATAGCTACCAAGCACCAAACCTGCAGGCTCACCAGGCCTGTCAGACCTCCAGGCACAGGCATCACACCAGACCCTCTTGCCCCATTAGTGAACGCTGCACACTTGCTTCTAGAAAACGTATTTCCAAAAGCTTGTGAGATTATCATAGAAAACACGGGCTTTTTCCACGTTGCTATTTCTTAGGAAGGTTTCAGTTCCCCTTTGCCTCTTGCTTTGGGATAGTGTTTGACTTCCTCCTGTTGTGTGTTCATGTAATAGCTCGGCTGGGTGCCATTAGCATTTTTCTAGAATGTAGACACTATATTACTACGTGGTGAGTAGGCAGTTTTAGTCCCTCATTTTCCAAATGTTTTTAATTAATCCATAAATTTAGAGGCCAGGTTAAAAAAACAGATGACTTTATTTAAATGTTTTTCATACCTGAGTTTTTAATAACACTTTTATGTAGGAATTTGAAAAGCAACAGACACGCTATTCCGAGAACTTGACACACTGTTGCTGTTTCTCATTGTTCTAGCAAAGCTGAGCTCTAGACCAGTCAGAACCAGTAGTGAAATGAAAATAGACTACATTCTTTGAGGGTAATTGACTGCATGTTCTCTGAGTAAACAGTTTCTCTACATCTCCCCTTGGGAGCTCGTAAGTACAATTTGAGAGGTTGCTAATTAATGCCTAGGGGATCACCTATACAGGGCAGCCTGGCCTCACAGACCTGAAACTTTCATTTTGACTCCTTTGATAGAAGACATCAAAAGTTATCCTCCAAAACCGTATTTTAAGGAAATCTCATGTCAGCTATTATAGCCTGTCCTCCAAATGGTTTATGATACTACCTGGTAAGGACTGACTCACACAACAAAGGGCAGCCATGTTCTGTGTTAGAAGAGGTGGTGAAGTGGTTAGCCGTGTGGAGGGAAGGCAGAGGTTGTCCCTGACCCTGCTGTAGGGACGATACCTAGGGGAAAGGCATACAAGACCCGACTCAGACGGTAAGCGTGCGTGCTGCCAAGCCTGGGGACCTGATTCAATCCCTGAAATCCACAGGATGGAAGGACAGAATCAAACTGACTCCTGAACATTGTTCTCTGATCTGCACATGTAAATTGTGGCACGTGTGCTCCTTTCCCTCTCCCCAACACAGGCACACGATAAGTAAAGGTAAACAATTATGTTTAAGACGAGTGAGCAAAAAAAAATGAGGAAGACACGTTTGCTTACAAGTGTGGGACCTGATAGGTAATTTACTATAATTTATAACGTCTAGTCTCTAGTCATGTGTTCTTTTGTGTGTTAGTGCACGCATGTCAATGTTGATAAGTGTGCAGATGCACGTGTGTGTGTGTTTGTGTGTGTATGACAGAGAGAGTATACATATGTGAGCATGTTTGTGTAGAGGCTGGAAGTTAACCTGGGGTTTGGGTGGTGTTCATGCATTTTTCAACCTTTTTTTTTCTTTTGAGACATGATCTCTCACTGGACCTAGAGATCACCAAGTAGGCTAGGCTGGCTATCAGTGAACTCCAGGGAACCATCTCTCCCCTCTCTGCAGCGCTGGGATTACAAGCATGCAACACTACACCTGGCTATTTTTTACATGGATTCTGGGGATGGAATTCAAGTCCTCATGCATGTGCAGGAAGAACATACCTGACTGAGTTATCTCCCTTGTGCTGAGTGTCTCTAAAGATTGAAAAATTCTGAAGGAACTGGGCAGGTGACATGGCTCAGCTGGTAAAGGTGCTTGCTGCACACGCCCGGGGAGCTGAGTTCAATCCCTAGAACTCCCATGAAGTGGAAGGGGAGAGCGAACTCCACCAAGTTGTCCTCTGACCCCCACCCATGCCAGCGGGTATGTGCCCCACCAAACACACCTCAGATATACAATAATAATACTAAAACTTAAAAATACAGATGTTAGTATAATAGGGGTTATTGAGATACTATTTTTGAAGTTCATCAGTTGTAAAGTTTAAGATTTTTGAGTACTTAATATGACATGCTATTACATAGTTTGTAGGAATCATTCAGAAACCATATAAGTCCTTGTTAAGTAATGAGAGATTCAACATACAGCCTTTTAAAAATCGTAAGTGGCGTGCATTTATTATTTATTTACTTGGTCTTTTTGAGGCAGGCTCTCCCTGTAGCCCCAGCTGGCATGGAACATACTAGGTAGCCCAGGATGGCCTTGATCTCACAGAGATCCACCTGCCTCTGCCTCCCTAGTGCTGGGATTAAAGGCATGCGCCCCCCAGGCCTAGCTACCTTCATTTATTAAAATGTGATAGAAAGCACAGGAAGATTCACGAAGGAGTCTTGAATGAGAGCTTGTGAAATACTTGATAAGGGTTATTTATGCTGAAGACTATCCCACTCTACAAAGTCCTGTCTCACTCTGTGATCCTATTTTGCCAAAGACAAATCACTTTCTGAACACAGATGGAATATATCACGATGTGGAATACAAATAGGTGTCTAGTAAAATGTCCCACCTGAGCTAGGAAGATTTTTGATGACTAAGTCTAACCAGAGTAGCTCTAAGATACAGAACAATGCATGATCTGCCATCTATCATTGATATTGCTTTTGTGTTCTTAAAATCTGTTGAATTCTTTGATCATGTTTATAATTGTTCTTTGAAATTCTGTTTCCTGGCATTCATTCCTCTAGGTAGTTCTCATTGTAGAACTCTTCTATAGGGCTGGTGGGGTTTGGCTGGGACATATTACTTTGGTTTTTCATATTATCTGTACTTTTTCACTGTGGTCTGGGCATGTCAATTTCTTCTGTTGCTTGTGTGTCTTGTATGGAGATCCATCTGCCCCTGCTGAGCTGAAGTTTGGCTCTGTCTGTATTGGTGATGTAGCTTTGCTGCTTTCTGATCAGGTATGAGTAGTCAGTTGGTCTGTGCCTTGGGTTTTGTCTTTTGATTTTTTTTATTGGAGGGAAGACTGGATGAATCCAGTCATGCTAGTCAGGAGCTGACTGGTTCTAACTAGCTAAGCAGAGGAGGTATGAGCCCTGTATCTGAATAACTGGGGTGGTCCCAAAACTGGGGAATGTTGACCAGGATAGGCAGGCATTCTCTGGCAGCCTCAACAAGGAAGGGTCAAGGCTCAAGGAAGGTCAAAGGGAAAAGGATAGGCTGGTTCTGACTAGCTACTGAGACGTTGTAAGCCCTGGAGCAGCAGGCCTAGGTTGGACCCAAAGCTGGGGGCTGGGTGCTGTGGGATCTGGCTAAGTCACCCAGGCTAGTCAGGAGCTCTCCCACCTTAAATGCTTTTTGCTTGTCACATAATGTTTCTTCAAGTTTTAATGTTTGAAATGGAAGTAGGGTGTTGATATTTGGGTGTGTGTACATGCATGTGTCTGTGTATGTATGTGTATGCATATATGTATGTATGTGGGAGAATTTATTGATTATAAAACAAAGAATTTTGTTTGCTCATTTTAACATGTTTGAATGTCAACCTTAATATCAACCTATTTATTAAATTTGAAAGCATTTCTTTTCATAATAAAAGGAATTTTTTCAATTATAGTTCATGTTAGATCATGATATCACAGAATCTACCAAGGAAAGGCTTCGTAGATAATTTCAGGGTCTGCTTAACAATATATATATATATATTTTTTTTTCTACACTTTGATCAAAGTCACCTTGTTGTTTCATCTTAATTTTGTAGCAACAAATGGAAATTTAGTGGAAAAAGCAGCATTCAACATGAATGAGCAATCTGAGCAAGTTGAACAAGAGACGTGTGCATTGGAGAAGAGAGCAGTGATGGAGGAAGAGGAAGGTCCCCAGCCCCAGGATGCTGACACGGGGGCAGGGCTGAGAGAGGAAACAGGGATGGAGGAAGAGGACAGTCCCCAGGCCCAGGATGCTGAGGCAGTGGAGGAAAACGCAGATGTGGCACTGGCGGAGAAAGCAGGGGCTTTGGAAGTTCGCTTAGAGGAAAGGAACCCCACAGTAGGGCAGCTGGCATCAGAACAGTCTAGACAGAAAGCAGAAACCCCTCTGAGCACAGCAAGTGTGGAAGAGGCAGATGTAGAAGGGAACAACAGACCTGGTAAGGCAAAGCTGAGCTCCACAGGACAAGCAGCAGCCAGGGACTCTGGGTGGCTGAGTGGAGATGAGGCTCCTGACAGGCAGGAGCATGAGGGTCACAACAGGCAGACCTTGGTGTATCGGGTGCTCAGGATGGAAGAGGTGGTTTCTGACATGGAACAGGCCTTGGGGGAGGCTGTGACCGCAGACAGCACAGCTTTGCCTTCAGAGAATCTTCAGGAAGCAGCAGTTCTTAGAGAAGCAGGGACTCAGGAAGGGGGAGAGGCTGAGAGGAGGGAGGTTGAGAGGGAGGGAGACTCCAAAAACCCAGATGTGCACCAAGGTGAAGACGAGGCACCCGCAGAACTGGAGGACCTGGGGCCTGTGGAGGACGTGGGGCCGATGGAGGACACAGCATCTGAGGCACAGGACGGCTCTGAAGACTCAGTGGTACCCAAACAGAAACTGGCCTCAGAGAGGAAGAAAGATCCGGAAGTAGGGGTGCCCTTGAGCTGCCCAACAGGAGAGGCAGAGGCAAGGCAGATGGAAGCGGTCCAGGGCAGCCCTGCAGGACTCCTTCAAGGACTGACCCAGGGGAGCCTGCCGGGGGCGGGGTCTACCAGGGAAGGGGACAGGAAAGCAAGCTGTCCTGAGCAAATAGAGAGTCCCCAAACACCTCGGAGGGAAACTGGATCTGCGCAAGAGGTGACAGGGGCCAGCGCACTGAAGGGCGAAGACACTTTGGAGGAGCAAAAAGAAGAAGGGGGAGAGGAGGACGGAGCAAAGGAAGTGAGGTCAGAGGGAGGGACCGAAGCACCCCGAGGGGATATGCGTGCTGAGGATGCAGAACCCACCCGGGCCGGTGACTTGGCCTCGGATGCAGGGCTTCTAGAAGATTCACTGAAGGAAACGACGGTCACCCCGTCTGAAGCATCCCCTTCATACGGAACGTCAGTGGAGGAGGACATCGCCACAGCCACAGAGCTGCTGGGCCAGGAGACGGAGGCTCCTGCGCAGGGCGGGGAGCCCAGCGGCCATGGAGAGCGGGTGTCAGGGGCCCCTGGACCGCAGCCTGCAGGCGAGGCGCAGGCATCCGAGGGGTCCGCCAGGGTCCTAGCGGAGGCCGAGTGTGCCAACAACGAGTCGGGCAGCCTTTCGGGACCAGACGGACGGGGTGAGGAGGGGCCTCCTGGGGTGGAAGAAGAAGGCCACGCCGTGCAGAAGACCCGGGAACATCTTCCCGAGCGAGAGCCCACCGTGGCAGGGGAGTTCGGGGGCGGGGCTGGGGCTGGGGAGCCGCTGGAGGACCGGGGTAAAGAGCATGCGCCGAGAACGGCGAGGTGGAGCCATGTAGGGCTGGACGGGGCCGTGGGAGGAAGAGCGGTTCTGGCCGAGGAAGATCTCCACCGAGGAGGAGCAGCAGAAACAGCCGCAGGGCAGAGGGTACAGCAGAGGGAGGTGCTGGCGGCAGGGGTGATGGGGACTTCAGCAGGGCCTGGGGCAGATGCTGGGCCAGAACCGAAGGATCCCGAAGCACAGGCCTCAAGGCGAGGGCAGGATGCTCAGTGCGCAGGGTCAGCTGGAGATGGGGCAGAGCCAGGGAGGCAGGATGAGGAACACGTGTCAGGGGCAGCCGAAGGAGGATCGACGCCTCGGAGAGGGCCAGAGCTGAGCAGAGAGTATCTAGAGACAGCAACCACGCCGAAGCTGGATTTTTCTGGAACCCTTGGGAAGCATCCACACATGCTGCAAAGTGAGGGTGAGAGTCCCTTGAACACAAAGGAGGAGGCGGTTCCACCTTAGACGGTGAGTTTAAATCCGACGTGTGTGCAGCCTTTCCGAAACCCCACGTGGGTCACCTCCCCTTGGGTATGGCCTTTCCTACCCCCCGCCCCGTGTCAGCTGAGCTCATCATATACAGGCACCCTTCAGTCCCGTGCTACTTAGCCCCAAGCAGGCCTGAAGGGTGTGGTGAGGAAGGGGGAGCTGGCAGAGAAGCCTGCGTCAGCTAAGTGACCCCTTAGTGTAAACAGGCCTCCCAGATCTTCTGTGTGTCCCACAGTGCTCAAGGACAAATTCAGAGAGGAATGTGCACAGCTACACACGCGAGAAGTAAAGGGTCACACTCAGGCTAGAATTCTTTCCACTTTAGTGTTTTTATTTTAAAAGATAACTGCTTGAGAATTTCACACCTGCATATAATGTGTTTTATCAGTTCATTCCACTCTGTCTCCTCCAGCTCATTCCATAGCCCCACCACCACTTTAGGGTTTGGAAGGGTGAAGAAACCCTCCCCACAGTCATTTGCCACACACGGAGCTCTGTGTCTTTACCGCTGAAGGATTACAAAATTTAACAGACATGTATCTTCCATGCATCAAATACAAATATCGCATTTGTATTTACCATGCAATATTTCAATGCCTAAGCTTTGAATAGTAAAGGCCACAAAGTATTTACTTTTTGCATGTCCTGTTATTTCCAGGACCCTCCCATATCCATGGTGCCTAGTTTCTAACATTTTGAGTGATTTTTTAATCTATAATGTTACTGTCTTTTTAAATTATTTTGCAGGATATTTTAAAGGTGTCTTCTGGAAGATGCAGAGTGGAGAAATATTGAGACTTGCACTTCTCCAGGACTTTAGATTTTGTTTTCGTGTAAATCACTGCTTGTCTGAGTTAGTTCCCAATCTGTCCATGCTAGTCAGTAGCTTAGTAACCACGGTGGAAATAGCTCAAATGGATTTGCAAAGCCCTCACAGGAGCAGTGGTCCCAAACTGGAGACTGGGGAGTGTTGCACAGTCCACACAGCTAGTGTCTAGATTCCAATCAAAGTGATAGTTTTCAAATGTTTGACTTCTAGCAAAGAACACCAGAAGGAAGGCCCAACCCTAATATCTGGAATTTCTTTTATTCCCTTTTTATTTTAGAGTCAAATATTAATCCCAGTTTCAGGTATGGGGGTTGATTTTAAACCTGAAGCTTGGCACTTTTATCACCCGGTCTTTGGGAATGGGCTCCAGAGTTTTCCATGAACACTCAAAACTGAAGATTGCTCCAAGCCATTCTAAGTGCTTCCAGAAAGAGATCCCACAATATGGAAATTCAGTTTCTCTTGGAAACCTTTATCCTTCCTATTTATAGCAGGGGTGTGAAGTGGAAACCTTCCTGCAAAATGCCCTTTGTCTTGTGTATTTTGGCCTTCTGTTTTCTTGGGCAGATTAGAAAGATGTTAGCTGGATGCACCTCATTCCAGGACCTTTGTTTACTGGGCTGCCCGAATGTAAACAAAAGCAGCGAATAATTTAAATGAACAGGACACAAATGGTAACTGTAAGGGAAAGACATCAATACCCGATGTCATTCTGTAGAAAAGCAGATTGGGTCAAATCAGCATCCTGCTCCTCTTCCCTAGTTCTGTGATTTCAAATCTGTGACGGAGCCTCACAGTCATTCGTGAGGCAGCAGCCCCAGGTTCCTTCCAAATGGTACTCTGGCATTATTTTCTAGTTGAGCATCATTGTGCCCAAAGGGTCTGGATTTCCTTGAAGGCACCGACACAGTAGTGACCCGAACTCACATGATTGCCTCCCTTTTCTACCAAGTGAGGCGGTAAGAATGTATAAATCAGTAATCCCCCAGCCAGGGAGCACACGGCATTTTACAATGACTTAACCGATTCCTCACCCCAAAGGTGAGGATTTAATTAGTTTTAAGTGAATCCGCAGCAGTATTTTTAAAAACTTCTTGACGCTACTAGGTAGCCAGATTTGACGTCCTCTCTGCACCAAGTCACCATACAGTCATGCCAGCTTGCCGTCTGTGTCTCTATGAACGAGGTGATGAATGATGGAGATATTCGATAATCAAGGAGATCCTGGAGCAGGCACGCTGGACCAGAGAGTGGATGGATCCTTTAATCACAGATGCCGTCACATAGCCCTTGTGCTTCTCTTACTTTCATAATTAGAAACTGCAGGGAGGGGGGCTAGAAACTACTGCTTAATCAGCTCCTTAAGGTATTCTCATCCATACCAAAGTCGTGAACACTGCTCAAATGGACTACTGGTTCAACTAAGGGTTCATGTTAGTTGGAAAACAGATTACGAGGGCATGGTCAAGCCCATATCTGTTTCCCTTTTTTTTGCTATTGCAGCGCCTCCTGGTTCCCCTTTCTAAATGAAACTGCAAGCATTATGAAAGAGGTGAACCCAACGTCAGTTCATTTCACTGTGATTGTATGAAGCGTTTTCTGAAGAACGCTCCCATCACCTACTGAGTGACGAGGATGAGGGCTACCCACTGGCAGCCACTGCTTCCCCGCCTCTGTGGTTGTGGGTGGATCTCAGGTACTCTACATAGGTTCTGAATGTTACTGATCAGCATTACTCTGACCTGTGTTTTTCCCCTAATTTCATCCTCCATGCTATAGAGCACTTTGAATACACAGCACTTTCGGAAAGATTGTAAACTCGTTAATCACATTGAAAAATGAGCTTCGCACAATGTGCTAAATGGAAATTGCATTGAATTATTTTTATATTTGACACATTCTATCAAACCTGTAGCGTAGTTCTACAAGCTGTATGTGGGTTTAACTGAGAAATTCAGTGTCATGATGTTTTGATTAAATGAATTCTTTCTCTGCGAATACTGCACTAATAAAATTATTGGTTTGTTCCACCAAACTGAGTTTTTTCCTACTTTCTTCATTACTAAAAAATAAATAATACATTTACAAACAAGACATGAGAGTTGTTCTTTGTAAATAAAACTAGACTTTTAAAACCTTTGTGTTCTAAAGGTTCATAAAATCTGAATGATAAGAGCAGACAAGAGACCCAGTTTTATGGGGCTGTGCTTTGAGTGCCTGTGATTGTATAGACTCTGCATTAGTACACATCGTTCAGAATCACAGGATAATACCAGAGAGGAAGATTACTCCCATGACTTTATAGAGAAGTAAACAGAAGCTCAATATAGTTAAGTGCCTCTTTTGAAATCACAGTCAATCTCGATCATCTACTGCCTAACTCAGACTAGCTTTAAAAACCCCATACATTGCATTTAGGAAGAGTTACCTTAGATGGGAGCATACTAAGTGTCTTCTCAAGTTTTTATGGAAGATGAAAAATACCCTATAATGCATCTTGTAATAGTGACATGGGAGCTGGTTTTAGCCATTGTTCACCAAAGAACAAGATAAACAATTGAAGACATGATAGATTCCCAAAGGTAGCATAAGAAGAATTGGGCTTTGCATGTGAATTTTGAGGTGCGTCTTTCCCATGGCTTTGGCTTAGGTGAGGTAAATGTGCAGCATGGTTGAGTCCTTTACAACTCTCATGATCAATAATTTTGCCATAATTATCGCCCTTGGAAAATGATTGTTTAACAAAGAAGAGAAACTAGGAAGGGGATTCATCCAGTAGGTGAGATATTCTAACAGCCTCAAGGACAGCCTAGGAGAGACAGCTTCTGACCCTGTTCCTCTGTACACTCAACGGTGTCATTAAGAAAAAGATTCCGGGTCACCTTCACTTTCAGAAGTACAGAGAAGAGCAAATATGGCCGAGATGCCTTAGAAATCACTCTCAATGCTTTTGTTCTCCTTCGTTCAGTTTCCTTTCTCCTAAAATGCCCAGTACAGGAAAAATTTGCTTTTTGAAATAACTTGGAACTTATTGTATGAGACGAAAGTGCCCTGAAATCATGGTGGTGTTTTTATTAAATTCTTTCTAGATACCTCAGATTCCTTAGCCATCTATGTGACCCACCTTTACACTATTTCGGAATGTTGCAAGTCCCCCCATTTTATCAGGGGAACCAGGGTGTACAGAGATAAGCTGCTGTCTGTCTTTTTTGTGAATCCTTCCTGATCTTTAAACATAATTAAAGGCTATGTCAAGGACTCGTACATTCTGGGAGAATCCTCAGTTTTTCAGGAGTTTGGGTGTTATTATAGAGACCTTCAACCTGGACAGAAGATGAAACTTTTCATGCACTGTTGGCAAGGGTGGACTGCGGATGCACAACTCCAGGATGCGTGTTGCCTGCAAATGGACTCGGCACTACCCTGTGGTCACAGTTCTCTGTGTTGCCCATCCCCACACTTTCTCGATCATAAAGACGGACTCCATCCATTTTTCAGTTTTCTTCTCTTTTAGTGGCCATAAAATGCCCTAAATGAAAGGAAGGATTTAAAGTAGAACACAAGAACTGAGGAGGAATAGTTTAGTGACTGACATATCCTTCTGCAAGTGCTTTCCAATTCTTTGTTTTCAAAAATATGAAGCGAGGATCATGCTGAGCTTTTAAGCTGATAAGCCATTAAAATATTTTTTAGTGTTTTAGTGGCCTGAGAATTTTGTTAAATTATGCAGAGTTCAATAAGGAGCATGGTTATACATTAAAACATCTGCTTCCACCCAGCCACTTATTTAGTGACATGCATAAACATTGTAATTTTACATCTGTAAAAAATAAACCACAAAGTGGAATAAAGCTTATGTTGAACACTGATTATAGCAGTAAATAATATTTTTCCAGTTACATAAACTAATTAAAAATAGAAATGTACATCAGAGAGGCATCGCTACTTTTAAATTTTTATGTCTGTGATGTTTATCAAAATATAGAACATATATAAGATTTCTTGATCAAATATGAATTCCTTATAATTTCAATCATATCTCAGCCCAGAAAAAATTAATGTACAGATTCCTATGATCATAACTTTTTAAATTAAGTTTTAATTTATAAAATAGTGACAGAGAAGTAGAGTCAGTAAAAGTCCTTGAAATACAAGAGTGGACTCAGGGACATAAAATTTTGTTGGAAAAGTGGGATAGAAATGTAAGTTTAAGCAAAAAATAACGATTTTATTTTTTAATACTAAAGGAAAGCTTAGTCATGTACTTTAAAATGGATGTTTGAGGTCAGGGTCTCTGAGAAGTGCTTTGGTATGTAGAAAGTTGATTGGAACAGGACTTGGGAGCAACACTTTGGGGACTGAGAAACCTGGGCAGGGAGGAAGGTTGAGTGGAGCTAGGTGCCAGGGAGGGAGCAGTCTGCTCAGGGGATCTCCAGTGCTGGGATGACCAGTGCAGGCAAGGGCCAGGCCTGTCAGGTGCCCATAGTTCAGCCTTTCCCCAGGAGGGAGCGCAACCTGGGCTAAGTGCTTCCTGCCTTTGAGAGCAGTTCCCATGGGAAAATTCAGCTTAACACTCTCCAGTCTAGGCAGCAGGCGAACCAATGAGTTCACTCCGAAGTGGGCTTGGGGCAGCACCCCAAAGCACCCATTGCACAGATGACACTGATACCAAATTGTATGGAATCTTGATTCCATGGGTTACATGTAGGAAAAAGATTTTTATCTTAGAAGGTCCTGTTTCATAACGGTCTAGGAATTATATCTGTGACTTCTATTTAAACTTTTGAACTGTTTTAGATGTTAAATGTGTGAGAACACATTGATGATTTCTTTAAAGCCACTTTAGAGGTGTGTGCACAAAGGTGTTTGAAGAGCCCTGTTAAAAAGAGCACAGTGAGGCCGGGTGTGGTAGCACACATCTTTAATCCCAGCACTCGGGAGGCAGAGGCAGGCAGATCTTTGTGAGTTCAAGGCGAGCCTGGTCTACATAGTGAGTTCCAGGACAGCTGGAGCTACAGGGAAACCCTGTCTCAAAAAGACCAAAAAAAAAGAGAAAAGAGCACAGTGGGGGACTGGAGAGATGGCTCAGCAGTTAAGAACACTGACTGTTCTTGCAGAGGACCTGGGTTTGATTCCCAGCACACACATGACAGCTAACAACTGTCTGTAACTCCAGTTCCAGGAGATCTGACTCCCTCTTCTGGCCTCCACAGCATTGCATGCACATAGTACACTTAAATACTTGTAGGCAATGTACTCATACACATAAAATAAAAGTAATAAATATATATATTTTTTAAAGGACACAGTGAATTGAGGTGGCCCTGTCCATCCTAAGTTACTTGGCATGATGTTCATCAGAGTGAGTTACCAAAATGGATTCATTTCTAAAACTGGTTTTGGCTTCACAAGATTCAAGTGATAGCTGCTTGCAAATTAATGAGTGGGCCATGAAGTGTGATATTGGTGCAAGGAAGAAGAGGTCCAGGAAGGGGTCTGGAAGGTTCCAAGGAAGGAACTGTGGCCTCCCATGAGGCTGTGTACACTGACAGAACACTCCAGCAGCACCTCGGGGCTATGGAGCAGGGGTCAGCAGTTTTTATCCAGAAAAACTACATTGTGACTATTTTATTCATTGTGGAATATATGCTTGTAATAGCCCACCCTTCTGTTCTGTGGTTGCAGCAGCCAAGGGTAACACTTGAATGAACTGATGTAGTTCAATCAGCAATAAAAAGTGTTAAAATACATGAAGTGACAGCTTTGGCTTGAGGACTGTAGTTAGAGTGCCTCTGCTAAAGACGTGCTGAGTGGAGAGGTCTGTGGCTATGTAGACTCTTCTCAAGATCTCCATTTGAATTTTAGTACTTGTATAAGTACTTTGCTTGTTGCTGTACTAAGTAGCAATTTAAAGGAGATTTCATCCCTGCTTATAGTAAGAAGGGACATAGTCCATGAAGGTGGAAGAGCGTGGCGGCAGGAAAATTGGGCAGGTGGCTGTGTCGCGTCCACAGCCAGGAAGCACAGAGAAGCTGGTGCTCAACTCGCTTTCTCTTTATCCCTTCTGGGATCCCAGTCCACGGAAAGTGCCACCCTCATGTGGGGTGGATCTTCCCACCTCGGTTAACCTAACCTAGAAAATCCCTCACAGACATGCCTAGAGGTGCATTTCTTAGACTGTTCTAGATCCTTGTCAACAATCAAATTAGCCACCACAGTACTCAATAATGTTTCTTAAAGACAAAAGTGTGGGAACTGTGGGGGAAAGCTTCCATGAGGAAGTAGCTGACTTTTAATCGCACTGTGAATTGAATGAGTTCTAGAACATTCCTTTCTTTTTAAGACTCTGATTATCAAGCTTCATCTTAAACTGTCAATCCTTTTCTCCTTGCCTTCTGTGTCAGAGCTGTTAGAATGTTGTAAAAAAGGAAGTACTGGAGACACCTGATGAGGTCATTTCCTGTGACACAGGCTGAATGCTTCAGCGGGCCAACAGCTCCATGAGAGACATGTTGTGTCCTGACTGAGGCCAGGCAGTGCCTGTGCCAAGAACCATTTCTGGCACACAGCCTGAGCTCAGTAACCATGGAACAAATAAAATGAGACATGAATTAACATTCGTGTTTGGGCAGCATTGTTCTATATTGTCCTGAACAGTTTTTAGGGTGCAGGGAGTATTTTAAAAAACAACCTATAAAACATGGAAGTCTTCAGGGACACTGAAGATACCAAGTTCCACCTGTCCCTCCCTCTTCAAGGCTCAGATAAGGACAGCAATGTCCCAGAGAGTATGAGGGGGAGAACCCACATACCCTGGAGGCAAAGCCAGGGATTACACTCTTGTTAACAGATTTCCAAATGAGACTTTTCTTAAATCAGAACTTTGGAGATGTAGCATCCTAAATCCTAATCAAATTCACTCTCAGAAAGTACTCTTCATAGAATAGCTAATTTTGTTCTTGCCTTGTGAACACTGAAATGTGAGTTTTCAAATGTGGTGTAAAGTGAAACATTCAGGTTCTCTGGATTACAAAATTCCTTGAAGTTTATTTTA